GTCAATGCAGAGGAAATCTTACCGATTTCTTTATTCTTCCGCATACAGATTTTGATCTCCTGGCGAGATTGCATAATATTGCCATACAGTAAGGCATCCACTCCACTTCGACTTCTCTAGTACTAAATTAAGAGAGCTGATAAGGCAAAATGATAAAAAGAACTTGAAACTTACATTTCACCCATTAAAAAAGATATCAGGTCGTTTGTCCATAGACCAAGAACCAAGCATCTTTCATAAGTTAGTACCTAAATAACAGAAGTGTCGAAGTAAAAAAACTCAAGCACTAAATACTGTTCAATTACCTGTAGTAACCGTAATATATCAATCAAATTTTGAGGCCCTAGTTGCTCCTTCAAGGATAATTTCAGACATTCAAATACGGGTCCACAAAGGTGAAGATCACCGCAAAGGTATCGTCGTATGCTCACATTGTAGAGTGCTGAAAAACTACTAAATTTCCAGTCAGGCCATTGTCAAATTCCCTTCTGCAACAACAAAAGTACACCTACCCAATGTAAAGAGTAATCGCAGTAATTTCGACCGCGTCGCTGCACTTGAAGTATTTGCGGCTAAGATATGAGGACTGTAGTCAAGGAGTTCGGTGACGAACTGGTTTGACAATGACAATCGCCCTGTGAGATCCACACCGTCAAGGTGACGAATAAGACTCTGAAACGCAAAAACTTAACACTCAAAGTAGATAGATATGTGTAATCGCGAGCATCGTAGGCAGCCTGCTGCCACCGCAAACATTGACTTTAAAATCGAGGAAGCACTTTTTAAACACCGAAATGAAGATATCTTGCAAACTGACTTTTACCAATAACAAACTGAGATATGAAAAATTCTATTCATGGGACTGCTCAACTATTATACTTGTTGCCGCATTAGTCCTCCTCTCAGATTCATACCAAAATCAGAGCTGATTTCGAACATCCGATCTTTAGCAAGAGGCCATCGACGTCATCCATAACACGACAACCAGCAAAAACTCGGGATTAGAAACCCCTATTTATTTTGGTGTCGTCTGACAAAGTAAGTAGATACAAAAATCTGGCATATGGGGCTGCCGCATAAATCCGTTCAAAGATATGCTCTACAAAAATAAGGCCCCTTCGGACTCTCCGACAAGATTTTAGGGTAACTATAATCGAAAAAAGGCATTATATAGGTGATCTTGACCGAAGCCGAACCATCCGGATCAAAAAAGCGACCATATGTAACCATAAAATCTGCACATAAGTTCGTTCGTTTTAGTCAGTTATAATTTAAGTGTGCATATAAGTTTTTTTTCTCGAGAAATTTCTAATAAAAGTGTGATTCCGTTTATAAATCATTTCATTCCAAAAGAAAGCAGAATGCATGCCATCAAGGGTCTCATCTGCAAGCGGGCTTATCTACAATCAAGGGCAAATTCATCTGTTTTAGGGCTTACATGCTAAATTTTTAGGGTACCATGCTGTCCAAAAAAAGAGATGGCGAACAACTACAATATTTCCAGTTCAGCGAAACGCTGTGGAAGCAAAGTACGGAA